CCCACGAACTATAAAAATAATAAATATATATATATATATATATAATGTTATGAGATTTAAGCTATTCAGAATAAACATTTGTGTTATAATCTGTAGTCATTCTAGAATGAAAAAAGTGTAATTTATATCTATTTCCTAATTTTTTATGGTGGTTACGAGGTTGGTGGTTACCAAATCCATACAGAGATGCAATAGTGAAAATAACAGATAAAATATAAATGTTTTTATAAAAAAACGTTTGATAACTATCTAAAGGTTATAAAAATTTTGCATGTGAAATCTGAAAATTTTCTGATGCACAAACGTATTTTTAATCTTAAAATAAAAAATAATTGGCATGTTGGAGAGCCAACATTCAAAAAGCAAAAATGCACGAGAAAACATTACTTAAAAAATCTTAAAACTTGCTATAAAATATGTAAAAAAGCCTTGTAATGTTTACTGATAATATGCAAAATTTTGTGAAGATATGCTTACTGTATTGAAAGTTATAGCATGAAAACTATAACAAGTACAAAATGGTTACAAGGTAGGTCCCTGGGACCAAGCCTGGAGTGAAAGAAATAACTAGATTTAATTCAGAACACTTGTACATAATCAGTTCTTTACATATACTACATTATCACATACTACATACAACAAATTGAAGTTTATCTTGTGATGAAAATATTAATTTTTGCAACAGTTGATACAAAAAATTCCCATGAAAAAAGATAATTCAAAAACAACTAAAACCTGTTTCTTTGTGTCCTTTTACAAATACATTAATCACAATTCAGAACAGAAACTAATGTTCTGACTTACCCTCCTGATTCATCAAAAAGCTTTCCTTCTATAAATGAATAGATATCAGAATATTCATATTCTCTGCATGGTAAATACTCTGGTACTGCCGATACATGTAATCTATGGTGAACAGAAATTATAAAAATTATTCAGAATATAGAATATGAGCAATACAACATTACTACATAATAACAACATTACTATATAAGAACAACATTACTACATAATAACATTACTATATAAGAACAACATTACTACATAATAACAAAATTACTACAACATAGCTTTACTATTAAACATCAGTTAAGATTTCCTCTCAAAAACTCCAACAAGTTTTCTGTATTAAGAAAGAGCGTGTTTGATTTAGTATTTTAGTTTATTTTTGAAAAGCTTATCATCAAATCATTTTGCATTTTTCATTTGTTTCAATGCTCATTGTGTTGATTTTTCGTCATGTAATATTCTAAATAATGTTCCAGTTACATGTGCTGTCTATACTACTGAAATAAATGAATAGCTCAATGGGCATATATTATACTGAAATACATGAACAGTTCAATGGGCACATACTACTGAAATACATGAACAGTTCAATGGGCATATACTACTGAAATACATGAACAGTTAAATGGGCATATACTACTGAAATACATGAACAGTTCAATGGGCATATACTACTGAAATACATGAACAGTTCAATTGGCATATACTACTGAAATACATGAACAGCTCACAGAGCCTTCCAATGTTCCAGTACAAGGAAGATGTAGACATACTTTCAAATAACTATCCAAAAAATATTATGCTACAAATTGCATAAATGGTGATAAAGTATGAAGCCAAAACAATGTGTAAAAATTCCCATATGGAAGATGTCATCAACACATATTCTTACCAAAAGTCACTGTATTCTTATTGAATAAATAGATTAAAGATGTACATCTTAATTTTGACATGCCATTATCAATATAACGCAAAATAAATTAGAAGGCAATATGCATGAGAACACAAAAATCTGTGTTATATACTTATTAGCAATTTTAAGATTGAAAATAGTTACAAGTTTAATAATAAATAAACCAGCCAGGTAGGCAGGTACAGTCATTACACACAGAAAATGAAAACTTTTTTCTAAAATAGCAGTTCTAGTAAGGGGATTGAGATGTCAATTTGAAAAGTAGTGGAGTATCTTCAAGCAGAGAGAAGTTTATTAACTGTATACTGTCACAGAATAATAAACTCAGTTCCCTATTTTTCCAACACTTGGGCATGTAGTTTCTTTGTGTTTACTTCCAAAGGATATAGATATTTTGATAAAAGGCAATATATACTAGTAATTATGTCACATTTGAATTTTGTGACCAGTTTTGTTGAACTTCTGACCAAAGCAAAACTAAAATCAACCTGGTAGTCAGCATAGCTTTTCTGATTTATTCAACATTATTTATATGGTGTTACATAAAATTTTTTCGTACAAACTGTGATGCAAAATGATTGGTAACCAAATTACAGGGGAAATATCATTATACCTAGTTAAAAATACAAGTAGATAAATATTTGACCATGATATGTTTAGCAGTTAACTACATTGTTTGTGAACGATGGTTAACAAGAAAAAGGATAATCTGATTTTATGTACCACACCAAATATAAACTATGTATTTGTCAGGTTTGTGTAGGGCCAAATTCTTTACAGTAGGTGTCTGTGACTCACTGGTGGTAAATTTCAAAAATAATAAACAAACAGCACAATCTACTTGTTTTAAAACAATATATCAAAACAAGTCAAATGAATATTTAAATGTTGTTTATCACAGTTGTATCCATAGTTTTTTCATAAAATTCCACACAGTTCTGCTTCAGTTACCTTAGAACACAATTTACAAGACAAATTCTTATTCTGTATTCTCTTATTACAATACAATATGTGATACTTTTACTTTAAAGTCAGCGATATATGCTCTTTACAGCTAAACTCATAAACACACACTCTAGATCTATTTGACCATATCTCTCATTAACTTAATGAGATATTATGATGTAACAATAATCGAGAAAAACATTGAAGGTTCTAATAACATGATGCAGTAATACAAAAATTGCCAATTTATGACAGTCAAAATACACAACGTATGATTCACGCTGTTACATAAACAACCCTGTGATAAACTATCACTTCTAAAAACTCCTAAATTTAACACTCGTACTATACTTAAATTAAAACACTTGTGTATATCTAACAATAAGCCCCACTTCAACAAAAAATATTTGCACTATTTTTATACCATGCACAAAGTCTACTCACATAGTCTGCACTAACATTTGCAGCCACCTTGATGGCTTCAATGCAGAACCTGTAGTTCTGTAGGTACAACACCCACCTCATGATCCTCGCACTGTTGATTCTACACCTATGGATGTATACAAGGAGCTGATGGTCAGTCTGGATGCTGAACTCCTTCCCTCATAGGTAGTTTTGGAATTTCCAGGTGGGAAATATGATGGCCAGACATTTTTATTCAATCACAGACTAGTTCTTGTAACTACTCAACAGCTTTTTACTGATATAGATTACTGGAAACAGTCCATCTTCACGTTCCTACAGAAGTGCTACTCCAATTACAACATCTGATGCATCGACCTGAACAATGAAGGGTCAATTGAAGTCTGGCATTTTAAGAATTGGCAAGCTTCCTAGCATGTTCTTCAACTTCTAGAATAACATCTGCTGTGGCTGTTCCTGATTCATCTTGTTGGGTTGGCCTTTCTTGGTCAGGTCAGTCAGTGTTGCAGCAACTTCAGCATAGTTTGGGATGAACTTCCTATAGTATCCCGCTACCTTCAGGAAGAATCTGACTTGCTGTTTGGTTGTCGGAGCTGGTACATCTTGTATGCAGATTAGCTTCTCCTCTTTCATGGCTATCTGTCAGTCCTCTATCTTGTGTCTGATAAAGTCAAGCACAGAATAGCCAATGTAGCTCTTAGATGGTCTGACCATCAAACCTGCTGCCATCACTTGCTCAAACAGCTTTCTGAGTTTATTCAGGTGGTATTCCCATCTGGTTGTGTGGGTCAGAATGTTCTTCACATAAAACTTGATGTTATTGTGCAACATCTTCTCATCATGTAGTTGAATGTCACTGCTGAGTTGATTAATCCAAATGGCCTACTCTTGAACTGATAGCATCCTTCTGGTACCACAAATGCTGTCTTCTCTTTAGATCCTGTTTTTATTGGGATCTGCCAATAACCTTTATGGAGGTCAATCTTGGAAAAGAACTTGACCCCATCTAGTTTTGCCATGATAGCCTCTGGGTTGCCCATGAGTTTTGAGTCAAACTTCATCACAAGGTTCAGCTTCTGCAAGTCTCTGCAGAAGTGGTTTGAGCCGTCCCTCCTCTTAAGCTCAATGATTCCAGCTTCTAACTTTAACTCGACTTCCTGCTTGATTAGGTCTCTCATTGTATAGGTCATCTGGTAAGGCTTCATCTTGACTGGATTCTTGGTCATGGTCTTGATCTTCTGTTGCACAAGGTATGTCTCACCTGGTCTATCTGCAAAGACATCTGCATACTGGCACAGTAGATCTTGTTGCTCTTTCTTCTGCTTGCCAGTCAGTTCTTCACTGACATTGACCTCTTTGTACGTCTCACCTCCACCCAGCAGTCTTAGATCCAATAGGTATTCTTGTTCTATTACAAAGTCACCATCTTCTGATTCTGCATCTATGATAGCCACACATTTAATGTCCATCTGTGCCTCAATAGATACATCCATTAGGTCTTCTTCCCCCTCAAAGTACCTCTTCAACAGATTGGCATGGTAGATCTTGGTCTTCCCATCCACTTTCACCTTATGGTCCATTCTACTGACCACTTCACATCAAAAACTTCTTTCCACTGCAGGGTGAGTTTGTTAATGTTTTGTGGGTATCAGAACCAAAACCTTCTGTCTGACCTTGAAATGTTGATCTTTGGCCTTTTTGTCATAGAAGTGCTTCAGACTGCCTTGAGCTGCATACAAACTTTCTTAAGTAAGTTGACAGGTCTCCTCCAACTGGTTTCCGAGGCCTAACATGTACTGGTATATGTTCCTCACTTCTGAATCTTCTTCTCTTGTTCACAGTTCTTTCAATATCTGCATCAGACTTCGTACTGTTCTTCTGTACAGTAATTCAAAAGGTGAAAATCCTGTACTCACTTGTGGGACTACTTGTTAAGCAAATAATATTGCATGCGGGTACCTGTCCCATTAATTTGGTGTCTCCTGGCACATCTTCTTCAGCATGCTCTTTATAACTCTGTTGACTCTCTCACAAAGTCCATTATGTCTGGGGTTGTACAGGGTAGTAAAGAGCTGCATAGTGCTGATGAGTCTACAAACCTCTTGCATCAGTACTAAGGTAAACTGACTCCCTCTGTCACTCATGGCTATTTCAGAAAGCCTACTCTGCAGAATACTTCTAGGAGAACTCATGCTACTCTCTTTCTCTATCTTTGGCACTGCTAAGGCTTCTAGATAATGTGTTGCATAGTTCACTAGTGTCAGCATGCTCTGGTTACCCTTGTCAGATACAGATGCTAGTGGTATAATCACGTCTACAGCTATTCTGCTAAATGTCTCTCACCCAGTGGCACCTTGCCTACTTTCCCTTTAAGTATTGTCCTTTGGCATATGTCACACGATCTGCAGAATCTAATCACATCTCCGATGGCCAATGGAAGTTGCTGGTGATTCTGTTTATCATCTTCTTTGCTCCTAGTTGTCCTCCCGCAATTGACTCCTGAGCCAGCTTCATCACTTGAATCTGGTATTCTGTTGGTACTATGATCTATTTAACTTCCCCAGTAGAACTGTCTTGATAGATCTGGTAAAGCATTCCTTTCTGATCCTCTGTTCTGTAAGTCCTCTTCACTTTGGTCTTGTGCTCCACTTTCTCCCAGGCACTGTCCAAAGGTTTCTGCAGAAAAGGGTCATTCTTCTGTGCTTCCATTAATTCCCATAGACCTACATTATGGATGTTACCTTTCAAGACTTGCAGGGGCTTGATGTCTTGCCTGCTTTTCTTTTTTTGAGCTCTTGTAGTGACTGCAGGTGAATCACCAGTCTTATTTCTGTCTGATTCTTCCTAACTTCTACTGCCTGGTGTTTTGCAAATTACCAAGTCTTAGATGGATGCCTTCCTGTACATGGCCTCAAGTTCTCCCATGTAGTGTATAGTGTCACATTATTCTTGCTATAGGAAACTTTCTCATTGTCCCATCAATCACCACACACATATCAACCCTGCCCATCATCCGGTCATCAAATACTAGACTTACCGGCTTGTTGTGGTGTGTTGGCACCTCTCAATGTTTGTCACATGGTCCATTCACCACTGGCACTGTTGACCCATTTAGTGACTTAACTGACCATCAATCATGCACTGTTTAATCATGGTGATAGCACTTCCTTCTTGTGGTGAATCTGACGAGTTGTCTTTACTCTGTTTCTTCTGGCAGCAGCATAAATGGTGACAGTCATCCATTTCTTCTTTATTGCCAGCACCATCTTTGTAGGTAGCACCAGCTGCTTTATATTGATATTTCTGCTGTTGCTTGTTGGTGACAGACTTGCAGAATCTCGCAATGTGTCTCATTTTATAACAAACATAGCATCTCTTCTCTCTTTTGTCTGTTGATTTCTTGTCAACCTTTAGTGATATCCTACCTCTGGTTAGCCACTCCTGGTTTCAGATTTGACTGGTTATTCTTGGACTTGCCAGTTATGCTATCTCCATGGGCTTCCATGTACTGTTCTGCCAGCTTGATAATCTCATCCATGTCTTTCTATGCTCTCTCCTTTAGGAACAGTGACATTTCAGTGGACCACATGAACTGTTCATGTATTAGTAAACCTGCCAATCCTTCATACTATTTTTACATTTGGCAATGTATGTCCACTTGTAAAGTATCCCAGTAGGCATACCAAAAACTGAAATACAGCTTCTCTGGTGCCAGATTTGACTTCTTTGAACTTTTGACGAAAACCTTCTTCAGTAAGTTCATAGCATTTCAGCAAGGCCACTTTTAACTTGTCATAGTCCATGGCATCTTCTGACATCATGCCAGCATACACTTGTAGGTCTTTTTCTGTGAGAATTGGGCTGAGACAGACCGCTTAGTTCCTTTTGTTCCAGTTCTGACTTTGGACATATCTTTCACACCTCTCCAGGAAAGCATCCATGTTGTCTTTCTGTTCATCAAATTTGGGCAGCTTGGATCAGCTGGCCCTGACCCCACTGTCATTCTTGAGTTTTTCATCTTTCTGTTGGGTGAGCTTGGCAATCTCAATTTGTGAAGTTATTCTCTCTATTTCCAGTCTCTCCTTTTCTTCTTTTTCAATTTTTATTCTTATTCTCTCTCCAGTCTCTCCTCTCTCTGCTTTTCTTCTTTCAGTCTTTTTCCCTCTTCTCTCTCTCTAGGTCTTCTTGTCGTTTAAGAAACTCTCGCAGATCGCCATCTTTAATCCTAAGTCGCTCACCCCCCCCTCTCTCCACTTATCAATATCAGTTGACATGGTTATATAGTGTGTTTGTGACCTCTACAATATTTTTGCCACCACTACAACTGTGTGTATATATGCCTATCTGCCGATTTCCTGTCTCTTCTACCATCGTTTACCCCTGTAGAGCCTATATGGCTCACCAATGTCAGGTTTTGTTTAGTGCTGGATTCTTTACAGTAGGTGTCTGTGATTTACTGGTGATAAATTTCAATAATAAGCAAACAACACATAGTACAAGTGTTTTAAAATAATATATTAAAATAAGTCAAACGTGTATACAAGTGTTCTTTACACAGTTGTATCCAGAGCTTTAAATAATTCTCTCTTTTTCATCAAATTCCACACAGACTGGTTCAGTTACTTTAGAACACAACTGACAAGACAAATTCTCCTTCTCTACTCTGTTAGCACAATACAATCTGTGATACTTTCAATTTAAAATTCCAGATATACGCTCTTTATGACTAAAATCACAAACACAATTTGACTATATCTTTTATTAACTTTCTAACTAACTTGAACTATATTTTGGACAAGTATTTATAAATAGCCCAGCTGAAGCCTAAAACTTTCCACACACTACAAGATATTAGGATGTAATAATATGAGAAAAACTTAGAAGGTTTCAGTAACATGACCCAATAATACAACAATCACCAATTTATAACAGTCGAACTATACAAGGTATGATTTGCACATTTACATAAATATACCTGTGATAAACTATCTCTTCTAAAAATAACTAAATTTAACACTTGCACTATAGTTATATTAAAACGGTTGTGTATATCTAAGTATTACATGATTTATTTAATTACAATAGGAATTTTTGACACTAATAAGTGACTTAAAACGTTTTAAGAAATGAGAACTTAATAACTGTTTTCTATTCCATTTACTGACTTAAGATTCAAAGGACCAGATAACTGATATTTTACCCAATGTAGTATGAACTTTAGTTCTTTTATGGTATGTCAAAACAGACGTGTTTTTGTTTTTCATTGGTAATTACAGTCAAGCAGGTAATTGCAAAACTTGATGGTTTTTTTTAAAAATTAATATGAAGCATGGCTGGTGATAAAAAAAAGTTCAAAAGGCATGATTATGAAGACTGGAACTTGATGAAATGCCTGAGCATTAGCTAGCAAAAAATAATAAAATTCCAATAAGCTTATTATCAAACATGCACAGAAGTTTTATAAGTAGAATTTTCTAACACTAAAGAGTCTCCTGACAAAAGTTAAACAACCTATATTCTACTTAACATCCAAAGGTGTAATATATAACACTAAGTTTTCCTTTGGATTGTATCAAAAAAGAAGAAACCAGAAGGATTAGAACTCATAGGATATCAAATTCTGTAAAATTAATGAATTCCAACACATTTGGTGTTGTGAACATTTTATGGTCATACTTCACTGCATAGAATGACACATAAGAAAATAACTGACAAAGAAAAGAAAAACCAGACAAATACAAGAAGCTACACATATAAAAATGAAAACCTCTACACTCAGTGAGTCACAAATTGAAATCACAATAAAAGAAGCTTTACATATCAGGATGAAACCACTGCATTCAACAGACTCAGGAACAGAGATCAGCAATCACAATTAAAGAAATTTTACATATATGAATGAAAATATTTGTATTCAACAGTTCCAGAAACAGAAATTTATGAATGTGTGACATGAGAGCATGTCATGTTTCCTCTATCATCTTTAGCAATATATGAATTTAAAAAAAAATTAATTTATTTTTCCTTCTATGTGGCTTTGGTATTAACACATTGTCCAGAAAACTTTTGAAATTGTTTTACTTTATTTGCCTTTATTTTCTATAGCAGACAAATACTCTGCCCAAAGGTATATTGCAGTAGTGACACACACATCCATGTTGAAAAAGTCATTGACTGTAATGTTCTTCACTGGCCAAGTGGATGATGTCTGTATGTTACAGTTGATAAATGTTGTGAGAGAATGACTAGTATGTGGTATACAAGGTTTCTTGTAAGACTGGAACATTTGTCCTCACAGAGTTCTACTTGGTTATCAACAGGAAACTTTCAACAGAGAAAAATGGTTGTTGATAAATTCACAGAAGAAGCAAATGTCCACTCAACTATGCTGGGGCACACAGTTTTTGTGTCTGTAATGAAAATAGTTTTCACTTTTCTTCAAAAATGTCCAGTTGAGTTTCCAAATTCATATGGTTCTAAAAATTTCCTGTTTAATCCTAAGCAGACCTATCTAAAAACTTGCAAAGAAACCAGTTCATCTGAGAGTGCCACAGATGTTTATGAATTCCTCAAAATCCCTGCTACTTGCTGAATTTTACTTCTTCCAGAAATTAAAACACATTATCAATCTCATAGTAATCTGATTTCCAAATATACCTAGTGTTTTATTTAGCTATATAACTTGCAATAGATAAAATAAGCAATCTCAAAGTCTTATTCCTGGAGAGTCATGTAGGGATCAACAGATACTAACTGATTCTTTTAATTCACCATAACACAAATTTCTAAATCTCTCTTAACAGCTGTAAGACTACTGATATCTCTCAATGCAGTGTGCTCTCTAAAACCTTTGTAAAGTATTTAAGAAATTCTCACATGGCTGAGATATGGTAGCCATCAAAAAGTCCCCAGTTTGAGCTAAGTGCAATTACAAAAAGACTAAAAAATCTCTAACTTACTTCTTTTCTTATAATGTCAGTTCAACAGTTTTGAATAATAGTTATCTCAAAAGATTTGACTTTTTTAAACATGTAAATAAGAGCACTTGGCAAGCCATAAACGTTTTTCCAAATTGTTAATGTATTATGCAGTTACAGGATGCTGTCACGTTGTTACATGGACTACCATTCCTTGATGATGTTGAAAAAATACAACAGAACATTTCTTATTTACTTAAAGTTGTACATTCCTCTCCTGCTCCATTAATCTTACATGAAACACAAGGAACATGACTGAAATAACTTTTTTAGGAATTATGCTCATATAAACATATGAATTATATTAACTTTTCTATAAAAATTCTTGATAAAACTTAAATCAATCACAATTTTTATTAACAAGTTAGATCAAAGTTTTTCACTATTAATTCCTAATTAAGTAAGTTGGAATGAGAAAGTCGTATTGTAGAGGGCATACATTAAAGCCCACAAACCAACCAGTATTACCACAGTAAGATTTGTCATGGAACAATACATATTTTGTTGTGTTGAATCTTTCTTTTGATGCTCTTGTCAGTTCTATTCTTACCTCTTGATTCCAGTTTTATCAGTGAGCACTACACATTTGTAACAATATATACATTATTGCTCTAACATGAAAAAACTCAAACAGCTAAAATATTATTTTGAATTACATAATGGTAACTTTATTTCATAAATAGTAAACTAGGCAAGATACTTTTATCAAAAATAGACAAAAAGTACGCTGACACTTGTGAAATGTGACACAAGTTAAAGATCATTAATATTTGTGAAGAAATGTACTTTTTTCACAGTCTTGAAACATGTTAAAAGTTAAAGATAATTAATATTTGTCAACATACTTTACTCTGGCCAATTCCAATGGATTTTCAGAGACAGAACAAGGTGTCTGACGAGATGGAATAACCGGTCGTAACCTCTGAAAATAGAAATAACATTTGTATTAAGCTAATGATCTTTTATGTGTTCTATTGTTCACAAATATAGAAGTTATTGCTAATGCATCATCCTCTAAGTCCCAAAGCTAACAGGAAACAAATGTAAATTACACTCATCACAACATTACTTAATCATAGGCAATCTGTATGTGATGAGAGGGTGTAACAAAAATATTTCTATAAGTGTTTGTTGCAATTAATACTGAGGTGTATGTAAAATTTCTTCCTTCCTGTTTATGCTTAAGATAGGAAATGGAAGGGTTATAGGTTTATGAAAATATAAATTAATGCATTGCAAGTCACATGTCGGTGATCAAAGCTGTACTGTCTCAAATCTTACAAAACCCAGCATGTTCTAAATAATCCAAAGTTCAACATGAAATTGAGATTAATAAATAATTTTTAGCAGCACATCTGATTTATTTAAGACCTTTAATGCAAAACTATGCTCATAAATTAAAAGTGAAGGTAACAAGATCTACACTTATAGTTATCAAGTAACAAGTTTTATACTAACATTGTATTTTTTTGGTACATACTGTATTTCTTTTCTTACTCGAACTTCAATCTCTTATAACATAATTTCCTTTTTCAAGCTGATACATATAGCATATTTAAAAAATTAACACATTCACAACATCGTGTGCCACCGGTGGTACATTTGCATGTTTTCCGTTGGATGTTGTGTGCCACCCATGGTATACAGTACCCATAAGATATAACTGCACCTCATATCCCCAAAGTCCAATATGAAAGTATATATTTTGTACGGACGGCTATAATAAAGCCACTCCTTCCATTATGTACCACTGGTAGAGCACAGATGCCATGTTGAAATGACAACTGAAATAAAACAAATTTACGTGATTAAATCACTTTTCATTTTAAAATTACATCAAGAGATTGGCATTAAATTTTTCACTGTGAGTAAATGAAGCAAAAAATCAACAAACTAACTGAGACTTCTTTCATAAATAAAAAACTGTTATGAAAACTGTAATATAATAAGGAAAGAGATGAAATAGAAATAAAATGTTCATGGTAATTAAGTAGAATAAAAACTAATTAGATATTATTTTTATTTAGAAAGTCTTTTATGAAAATTGGAAAAAAAAAAGAAAGACAATGAATATTTTCATACATTCTAATTTTCATTTATGTTTGTCATTGAAACACCCCAAGCACATTGTAGGCTTCACATCACAATTCTTGAACTATTATCATCTACACTAGGGATTATTTTATCTGATGTTCCTTTTTGTACGATCGTAAAATTGTGAAATATTCATAATCCTTCTAAAAAACAGCAAAATTACTCTGAGAAAAAGAAACAAATATTAAATATGATGATTATTGGATTATTATTACTTAAATCATAGAGTGCACCATCGATGGTGCACTCAAGAGAAAGTTGCCAATGGAGTCATTCTGTTATAAAAACATAACATAAAGCCATAAAATTAGTAACAGTATCTAAGACAGAATTTACAATGAGGTTTTACATTTCTATTGCATAATTAGGGAAATCACTTACACCATGAAAGTGTTAAAGATCATGCTGTAATATATGAGAATAAATTCAAAAACTGCTTGCTTCTTGCATGTTTATTTAGTAAAATACTCCCACTTTGGTCCTGAAAATGGGGTATCAGTTCAGATTTACTAGTAAATAAAACCAATGAGATTTAAAAGACTAAGAAGCTTTCAATTAATAAGTTCGTGCTAGATAAGCCTAATTATACAGTATGCCTCCAGATGAGGAAGCAACTTCAAAACCCCAATGTTACAAAATATTTAAAATTATTTTACTGACATGAAACTTAACAACAGAAACAATTAAAAGAAATTAGTTTTTGAATACTTAAGAACATTATTTAATTCATTGCAACTAATAATTAAAATTAGTTCATAACACAAACAGCAGAACTGCAACTCAAAATATGAAGTACTTGGAATTTTAAATTACACACAGTTTGCAAAAGTTTAACACTGAACTATACTTTAGAAAAAATTGATTGTAAACATTTTTTTAAAGAAGTGGAAACTGCTTTCAGGTCATTGATTTAACGTAATAAGCTGTTGAATCTCAAATAGAGCAAATCTCATGTTTCACTTCACTAGTTTTGTGTGTGTTTGTAATGAAACTCCTCTTGACCTTCGTTAAATACAGTAGCTTTTAATGCTCAGAATTCATTTATTATTACTTTAGTAAGATGTGCTGACATGAAGTTCAAGTGGAAAAATGTAAGTTTGTAAATTTTTTGGAATGAAAACTTAGATTGAGTGTAAGTTTGAATTAAAGTTGGGTAAATAGTGGTATTAGCTAACTGATACCTCATTAATTGGTCACATTTGATTAATGAATGAATACAGTGTTTCTCAAAGAACAAAGTTTTAGGTAGGTGCTACCACCCAGTTGCCTTCCCTCTAGTCAGCAGTTCAACAGCAACAACAAAATAATAATAATAATGTTGGCAATAACTGCTGCCAGCTAGGTGCCTTTCCTATTGTCAGCAATTCATAATATATTGATATTGTTAGTGCCTAGAGCTAGCAGCTAGTACCTTCACTCTTAAATAATCAATTATATTGGACCCAAAATACACCTATCAGGCAAAGTAAATGTCTACTCCTGCTTTCTGGGAATGTAATATTAACCTTTATTTTCCTCCCAAGAGTTTGACAAGTTCCTTTGTTTTTTGATTTTTGACCGGTAGGGTTTCTTCTTTTACTGGTTTTTTTAACTGAAGAAACAATTTCAAAATCTTCATCACTGTCCGTATCTTCTTCCACATTTTCATAGTCATCTTCAGAAGATTCTTCATCCACCTGAAGTTTTTTGGCACTTACACTGAACCTCTGTTTTTTTGATTTAGGAGGATTCCTCTCTTCTGAAAAACTGTATATGGTAACTTTCATTCATCAGTTTAACCATTTTCTGAAATCTAATGAAAATTCTCTAAAAATAGTATTAATGATGGTTAATGTGGGTCTCTCAAGTATTTGTTATCCAAATGATACCCTTAAATGCCAAAATTCTTATAAATTTAACTAACTTAATTTAAATAAGTTAAAAATGCTAAATGACTATTTCTTCTGACAAATACTTAATTAAAGTTTTAAATTAGTTTTATATGTGTTATTTGATAGCTCAATTCAAGTGTGAACTTAAATACTCAATCTTCAAAGCTGTAAAGAGAAAAATTAGGATTATGAAGTAAGAACAGAATACAGAATAGTTTTTAACTGAATGTGCATGGGGTCAGTCTACTGAACTGATTCCATATTTGAAACGGAATGTTGACTACAATTCTAAATTTATTAAGTGTATCTACATGAAACGTGGCAAGCTTTTAGTAAAATGGACAAATCTGTTGCACACAAAAAATCAGATGTTTTATGTATTTGTACTTAAGAAATGTCTGTGAATTAACAGTCAGTCTGATTCTAGTCTGAGTACAAAGTGATGTTCATATGAAGAATAAAAATACATTTTCCCATCATACAGTTTGATTGTTACATTTACATAACCTCTGAAATGCATACGTACAGTTTTTTTCAGTCAGGTATTTACTCTCTTCTACCAAAAACTGTCACTAATTCCGCAATGTAGGGTAAAATGAACAGTTGATAACCCTAACATGAAACACATAATAGCAAATCAAATGGCACTCTATAAAATGTCATGGCATGCACGCTTTGACCTCTGCCTGTGCACATAAGGTTAACTCATGACATAGGCTAACCAATATTTAAATCAAGTGACTAGGGCTATTCATCACATTAAAAATCTTGTTTTCATGCAAGCTTTCAGCCATGAAACCATCATTTTATTTTTAACATTTTTAAATTTGGGATCACTTGAACACATAAATCTAGAATACATAAGTAGTTTTCATTGAGGATGAATTAAATCATTTTGAGAAAATTTTTAAAAACTGTTATCCAAATAAAAACTATACAGTATAATGATACAAAGTGATTATACAGTAAAATAATCAACAAATCTTTACTGCAAATAAATCGCTAAACAAATGTAAAAATAAAACTTTTTCCTTGTACATTCTGGATCTTATAGAAGAACTAAAAAATAACAAATGCATTTAGCATCAATGTAGCTTTCTCACCCTATGAGATAAATACAATAAGTTACCTGTTCCCAAACCTTTTATGAAGAAGGCTGTTTACAGCACAAAGTGGGAATGTAATAAGCAATATAATGAAGAGATAAATTCACTTCAAGTTAGGCTCAAGAGTACAAAAATGGCATCACAAATTGTGTTAAGAACATATCAGCCATTGCCTACAAAAAAACAAGATGGACTTAAGTATTAGTTCAAGAAGAAAACGGTCAAAAATAAAAAATTACAAAGGTTTTTGCTAATCACACATATAACAGTGCTCCAACATTTATCAAGTAGATCAGACAATTCATGTAAACATTCAACTTTAACCATAACAAGTCCCAAACTGCTGTGAATACATATATCGTGATGAAATTTAGTTGAATGGACGGCAATTGCCTGCTGTAGAAATGCAGGACAACATTTCGAAAGTCTTCCACCTTTCATCTTCAGGTCAGTGTGTGTATGGTTTTGTTGATCTTTATACTATTCTGGTGGATTGTGGAGGGCGTGTTATGACTGGTTGGTTTATCCCTCTTTCTGATTGGTGGTGAGAAATCTTGTACATTCAATCAATGGTAGCCACAGATTACTTGCCTTTAATCTGGAATCTGTTTAGTGAAAGTTTTATAGTGTTAATGTAAAAGGATTGTTTAATTTTTCTTGTCTTCCTGTTTTTATTAATATATGAATTTTATAAATTATTTGTTTAGTCTGTTTCTATGAAGTTTTGGTATAAATTCATGGTTTCTGTTTTCTATAGTAGATAATATGCCAGAGGGGATGTTGTAGTATATTTACATAGAAATGGTTCAGAGCTGCAACGTCTTAGGCTGACTGAGCAGATAATGTATGCTACAGCTGAAAAATGTTGTGAGAAAATGACCATTCATGTGGTGATACTATCATAAAATAAAATAAAAGTTTTGTAACCTTGTGACATTCGTAGATTCTTG